GCAGGGCGCCCGGCGGTGGACAGCGTTCGCCGGCCTCGCATCGAGGACGAGGCGGAGCTGCCCAGACTTCTTCTTGACAAAAAACATCCCGCAGCGGGCGGCGACCCTCGTCCTGTAGCAGATGAGGCCGCAGTCGGCGAGCCTCTGCGCGAAGTCACGGAGGAGGCGGGGGTTCGAAGCCAGACGCCGATCCCAGTGGGGACGAACAGGCTCGACTCCCTCCAGCTGGGCATCCCCCAGCGCGATGAGTGACGGGTCGGCAAGGTAGCGGGCCGCGTCGACGCCCGCCAGCAGCCGGGCGTCCTTCGGGCGCAGCCGCTTGGAGGTGACGGAGACGCGGTCTGGGTCGTAGGGCGCCACAGCCAAGGGAACGTCCGCGTCGTAGAGGTCCTTTGCCTTGAAGAGATCCGGCAGGGCGCCGGAGGGGAAGAGGTCGAACTCGAGCGGCCTCGGGCCCGCGGCAAGGGCCACGTCCGCGAGGCGCCTCCACGTCGCGAGCTGGGCGTCAGACAGCTCCCGCCCGTGGGGAAGGCGGCTGGGCCACACCGGCCTGGGCAGCCCACGGGCGCGCGCGGCTGCCAGAGCGTTCAGAGCGGCGGCGGCATCAAGCTGCAACGCGCCCACTGCGCCGGCCTCCACGAGCTCCCGTCCCGACGCTGAGCCGGGCGAAGAAAAGAATGACTTGGGCCGCGGGAGCGGGAACAGTCCACACTACCAGCGGGAAGCACCGCGGCGATCCATCCGAGCAGCAGCAGCACCACTGCGAGGCGGAGGGCCAGGCGCGAGGGGGAGGGCCTCGATGGCCCCACTCGTTGTCCTTGCCGCCCTTCTTGCGGCCGCTCTCCTCGGCGTAGAGGCGCTGCTGCTTCAGCGCGAAGGCCTCCGTCTTCTGCTCGTCGGCGATGAAGCGGGCGAAGTCCCCGACCGCCAGGGTGGCGCCGCTGTCGAGGCGGCTGTGGATCATCATCTCGAGGCCCCGGAAGTCGGGGTTCTTGGGCGACTTCTTGACTGCGCGCTCGATGTAGAGTACCCGCCGAGCCAGCATCTCCATCGCAGCACTCTGGAAGATCTCGAGCTGGTCGAAGCAGAGCGCGTGGTGCAGCACGGACACGAGGCTCTGGTGATGCTCGGCCACGCCAGCCTCGGCGCTGACCCCAGACGACCTGGCCCACGCAGAGTGGTAGCTCTCCAGGGACTCTCCTGAGGCGCGGATCCCGCGCAGCAGCTCGAGCGAGGCCGAGGGCCCACGGAAGGGCCAGTCCTTGGCCTCGGCGGTCGTCATCCCGTCGCGGCCCGTCTTCACAGGGAGCTCCGAGAGAGAGGCCAGGCCCTCCTTGAAGTCGAGGTAGCGGGCCTCCTGCGCGTCGCGGCTGATGGCGAGCACGCGGGGGTCGCGGCCGGCACCTGTCTGCTTCTCCTCCTTCCAGGCTGCCAGGTCGCTGGGCAGCGGCCTCTCGACCGCCACCCACCTCTGGTCGTCCATCCTGGCGAGCCCCGTGTGACCCCGGGAGACGAAGCGCGCGGGGTTGGAGGTGACGGCGACCTCGACGGTGGTGCCGAAGTCTTCGTCGGCGGGGTCGGCAACGTACCAGACGGCCGCCGAGGCCGCAGCCGCAGGCGCAGCTCCACCCAAAATACTCGCCAGCGCGTGCGCCTGCTGCATCAGGCCCGCCAGCTCGTCCTCCCCCAACGGGTCGAAACCGAAGAAGTTCCCCCGCAGGCGAGGCGGGATGGGGCACCCCCGCACCAGCGGCACGATGCGCGACGTGGAGAGGTTCCGCACCTGGACATCGTGGGTTGGAGTCGCATACACCCACCGCCCGTCGTCCCCGATCTTGACCAGGAGGATGCGGTGGTGCCACCTGAAGTTCGGGTCGTCGTCGAACGCCTCGGCAATCTGCTGCTGCTCGATGTCGAGGGCCTGCGGGACGGCGGCCATCAGCGGCGACGCCGCGGCACCCAAACGTCAGGCTCGTCGAGAGCAGCCAGACCAGCACCCCCAGCGTCGCGGTCGCCCAGCGCCAGCGGCGGCGGCGCCGCACGGCCTGCGGCCAGGGCGGAGGGCGTGGCGGGGCCCCCGAACGAGGCCCCGGCCGTCGCCGTGCCGACCCAGCGGCCGTGGCACCACAGGCGGCAGGCCGCCGCGAGACCCAGGGCGAGGGTCGCAGCAGCCAGAGCGGCGGCCCACACCGCCGAAGTCGCCCAGCCGCAGGTGCAGGCGGGGCAGGCGGCCGCCGCCGGGCAGGCGGCCAGCGAGGGGCAGATCGCCTCGGGGCAGACCGCCGCCGGGCAGACGCACGCCGGGCAGGGCGCCGCCGGCGGGCAAGTCAGCGCGGGGCAAGCAGGCGCCGGGCAGGCGCAAGGCGGGCAGTCGAGGACGTGCCCGCAGAAGCCCTGCCCCGCAGCCTCGGGCCCGGCCCACCAGCCGCCAGTGAGGCCACCGAGGAACGCCGCGATCGCGGCGGCAGGGGCACCGAGCGGGCCGGGCCCTCCCATCCCAAGCCAGAAAAGCTGCAGAGGACTCCGATGCGGACAGTGATAATGTGTCACACTTTCAATGATCATTCTCATCAATGTCGTCGTCATTATCATGTGTCGTCGGCCTTGCGCCGGCGTTCCGGGCGTCAGCTCGGTGCACTGCCTTGGCAAGTTGTCGATTCATATTACTCTTACGGACGTGTCCAGTCCAATACTCATCCTCCTCCTCGCCGTCGTCGTCGTCATGATCGGCATCATGATCCTAATCATACTCCTCGTCACCATCTTCATCGTCATCGTCATCATCATACCATCATCATCACCATCGTCATCGTCATCGTCATCAGCATCACCATCAACAACAACATCAGCATCACTATCATCATCATGATCAACATCATCGTTACCATCCACATCATCACCATAATCGTCGTCACCGTCATTGTCATCTTTATGATCATCTTCATCATCAGCACCATCATCGCCGTCGTAATCGTTGTCGTCATATTCCCATCGTCGTCGTCGTCGTCATCCTCTGCATCCTCGCCCTCATCGTCGTCGTATTCGCCGTCGGTGCCGTTCGGAAGCCACTTCGCAGACATCTGGGAGCCGTTTTGAGGCCCCGTCGGAGCCGTTTGGGACACGTCTGGAAGCCCCTTAATGGGCCTCTTGAGGGGCCTCTTAAAGAAACTCTTACGGGGCGTCAAAGGTGGCCTGTTAAGAGGCGTCTCAAAGAGCCTGCAAAAGAACATCTTAAGAAAGACTCCAAGCCCAGAGCCTGGAACTCTGGAATTCCGGGTCTGGAGTTCCAGGTTTGGGATAGAAGCCCGGAACTCTGGAGGTCCAAATTTCTTACAAAGGACCCGGCATCCAAGGAACGAAAACTTGGAACTCCTGAGTTTGGGCTTTGGACTCTTATTCTGGTTTATTGGCGGGAGGGAGGAAGAGGGAGGGAGAGAGGAATAGAACAAGCTAGGTGCGCTCGCGCCTCATCTGGCATCCTATCCCTCCCTCCCATCCCTTCTCATGGCGCTGGATTTTCTCTATCTGCGGACGCGTGTCAAAGCCGATCTGCGACTCACACAGAGAGACCACTTCGTGTCATGCGCAATTGGAAATATGGGAGCTGCGTGCACAGGCGGAGGAGGTGGCGGGTGGGCAGGAGGATGAGCGGGCGGAAAAGGGTGAGGACGAACAGCGAACAGCAGCAGCAGCAGGAACTGGATGAGCGGGAGGAAAATATGATGACAAAAAGGAAAAGGAAGCGGAAGGATTGAAGGGAAAGAAGGGCCAGGGGAAGGCGGAGGAGGGGAAACGAGGGAGGCGCCAACGATGAAGAACGACTCGGATTCAAAAAAGTGTCCCGGGCTGGGACGAGGCGAATTGCAGCAGCAATAGTTGGAGAGGAATGAGCGGGAGGAACAGGAGAACAAGGGATTTGGGAGGAGGGGAAATGATGGGGGCAACCACAATGAAGCAAGCAGGACTCGGATCCAAGAGTGGCCCGCGCTGGGGCGACAGCGCCATTCTGAACGACGGGAACAACGCGCCGATCCGAAAATGTGGCCCACACTGCACCGGAAACACAATTTCGAAACAACGGAAACACTTGGATGGTAACAACGACCATGATATAAATCACTTTTGAAATACAGTGTGAACAAACAGCACGCGGAGGGGGCGGTTCAATTGTAGAGGAGGAATGAAGGAGGAAGGGGAGCAAGTGACAGTGCTCCGCGTCGTAGGAGTGGACCCCCGAGGATCGGGTGGCTCCTGTTTCCTACCACTCCCCCATGCGGTCCCCCGCCGACCTCCCCCAACCACATCCGACGCCTAGATTTTGTTTTGCAGTGCGGGCCCCCTCTCGAAGTCCAGACCCTTTCCCCATGGCAAACTTCTCATCCCGAGTCGTTCTTTGACGATCCTAAGGCCAGCGAGGGCCCCCAGGGGCCGAAAACGCCGAAACACTTACGTTCTTTACGGTCAGGAGCTTTTGCCTAGCGGCGGCGGCCGTGGCTACACGCTATATGCCCTGCGAGCTGATAGCGTGTCGCTCCGCTCCGCGGAACGGGAGGCTGGGAAAGGCTCGGGACGTTGACGACTGGGGATTGGGATGTGGATAACGTGTCGCGCCGAAGCGCGGTAGGCCAGAACCAGCGGCGCCACGCGCTGAGCCGAAGCGACCGACCGTACAACCGACAAATGAATGCTCAGACGGGGCCCTGATCTCTGGGGAGGCCTGCAAGAAACCGGGTCGCGGACGCCCGGCCGCGGGCGCGCGGAAAAATGTGCGAATGACAAAACCAATGTTCTGAGAACGTAGCACCGATGTACTAAAAAGTGTCTGAGCCAGAAGCGCTTTGATGACGCCGCGTACAAGTACACAAAGGGTTCTTAGACCGCTCGTGAGTGGGCCTGTGGGCAGGTCAGGATGCCTCGCCACTGCTTCATCTCTGGAGAGGCCTGCAGGGAGGCCCGGCCGCGGGCGCTACGAGAGGCCCCCCACGCCAGAGAGGCCGCTCCTGGCGCCGCGCCTGCGCCGGAGGGCCCGGCGGCGCTCGGCGGCCTCGCAGGGTGCGGCTTTCTGCTGCTCCTCCCCCTGGGGGTAAGGGGAGGGAGCCCCTGCGGCGCCGCCCAAGGCCGTGCGGCCCTGCCCCCGGCGGCAGCGGCCGCGAGGCCGCAGCGTGTTCGAACCGCCGAGGAGAGGCGCCAGCAGGCGAAGCCATCGCACCCAGGCGCTGGGGGGGAGGGGGAGGGAGGCCCAACTCGAAGAGCAACACAAAACAAACATAACATTTCGGAGGTCCGCGCGGATTTCCTGTGTCGGCCCTGGACGACCCCCTTCCTGGCGCGCGGGGCGCGCCAGGAGTCGGCGCCAGAGGCGCCGCCAGGGGGTCCCCGGCGCCGACCCAAGAGGCAGGTTTTCTTCAAAAACCCTGACAAGGTTACTTGCATGGATGGGGGGCCTTGCTAGGCACGACAAGAAATCTGGACTTCACGCAGGTCGGACCCCACTTGCACGACCCCTCGGCCCAGCGCTGTCTTAATTGGCGGCAGAAGGGGCGGCCTCCTGCTGCTCCTCCTCGGAAATCCTGGCGTCGCATTTTTCTCACATCAAGCGATTTCGCCCCATTTTGAGCCCCAGACCCTCGCAGATCGATCGGGCTAGAAACGTGCTGCAAAAAGACGAGGTCTAGGGCTCCACTCGTGATTTTCCGGGTCTACCTCCTGGAGGTGAGAAGAAGGTGCCGATACCGTTCCTTCGATTTCGCCTTTTTGGGTGTCCTGGAAGGGGCCCTCGTCGCCACTGCTGGATTCGCCTCGAAATTTTAATCAGACCCCACCCCAGGAGAGGTCCGGGGAGTGGCGGCGGCATCGGTATGTTTGCAAAACGAACCTCAGACATGCTCGCGACGCGAAAAACTCAGGATGGGAATTGTTTGCCCTCGCTGGGCCCTAGGGCCGTCAAAAAACGACTCGGGATGAAAAACCGGCCCCAGGGAACGGATACCGCGTATTGAACAAAAAACGGGCCATCGGACATCTGGGACTGCTTCACTGGCCTGCTGCGGCCTCCTCATTATCCTTCCTCTTCTTATCCTCCGGCCTGCTGTGGCCTCCGACTCTTCCTCCTCCTTCTCCTTCCTATCCTCCCTGCGTCCTCCTCCTCCTCCTCCTTGAACGTGTTGGTATTTAGATACTGGCCTATTTGCCTGCGTGGCATTTCCCACTGCGCCGCTATTTGAAGTAGCGCTGGGCGGTGTGCAAGTGAGTCCCGACTTGCGCGAAGTCGAAGTTTCCTTTCCGGCCTCGCTGCGCCCCCCCCCCCCTCATGCAAGCGGAGTCTGAAGAAACAGTGCCTCTTGGTTGTCGGGTCACAACCCGACTCTCCGGCGGCCGCTCGGGACGATCTGGGCACCCCCGCCCCTGGCGAGGCGCAACTGCTGGAGAGCATCCCTGGGCCAGAAAACCGCAGACAAACCGACAACAATCGACTGAGCGAAAAAAACAGATTCCAAGGTAAAACGGACTCCTTCTTCTTCTTCTCTGGCCTCTTGCGGCCTCCTGTCGGCTACATGCAAGAGTGACCCTAGGCAACACTGACCCTTGGTGCGCGGACTGTAAGGGCGCAACGTGGCCAAATCCAAGCGCGCAGTCAGCCGCTACCGCATCGCGCTCAGCCATCGAGGGGACCCCGATTAGCCCACACATAGAGTCACTCCAGCGAAGGGTCACTCTTACGTGTAGTCGATCATTAACCTTCTCCTCTTCTTCATCCTCATCCTCCTCCTCTTCCTCCTCCCTGGGCCCTGGCCCGTGTCGCCCACCAGAAGGTGGGGAGCCGCTTTTGTTTGCTAGAAATGCAGCGGGCCGCGTCGCTCGCGCTGCCTTCGAGTCATGACAAAATCACGGCGTCTTGTTGTGAAATGTTGGGATTCCCAAAGTCCTCACCGAGCCTCGGGACCTTCCAAAAACGACTCAGGATGAAAAACCGGTACCAGGACAACATCGGATCAGGACAAATCGAGGATCTCTGAGGTCACAGCAGGGGATCTGATGTCGACCCCTATCCCCGACTTCGTGGGGTTCTCGACTGGACAAAACAGTGGGGCTCAACTCGGGGATACACGAAGGGGGGCGTCCATCCTAGATAGGGGTGCGTCCGAGTAGCACCCCGCTGGTGCATTCCCGAGACTCCCCTCTTTTCTGAGCGGCCTGATTTTGTGTCGAAAAGCTGGGGGCTGGGGGCGAGAAACCACCTGCTAGATCAGGCGGGTCTGGAGGATGTATTGTGAGCCACGGCCCTTTCAGAGCGTTCAGCGGAGAGCTCTGAGACCCGGTGGCGAGCCCGGGGGGGAAGTGAGAAGGGGCGGGCCTTCTCACCTTCTCAGCAGGCTCGGAAGTCCCCAAGTTTTCTGAGAAGTTTCCTAAATCTTCCCCGAAGGCGCAGAAAATTTCTGACAAGACAAGGCGCGAGGGATTCTGAGAAATCCCGCTGTCTTCTGAGGTCTTCTCCTACTCACTTCCCCCCCTCGCTCGCCGCCGAGAGAGCGTTCCGGGACGCCCTGAAACGATTCATCCTTGTCCTAGCCCCGCCGGGCTCCCTATCTCCCGTCCTTGCCATCGCTCGGACGCTCATTCCCCGTGCACTATTTGGCCTCGTGCGCTCTTCTTGTTCTGCAGGATGGATTAAGATGCTCCTCGATTGTCCTCGCCTAGGAAAATGTGCACGTCCAAGCGATGCCAACCTGTCTTCAACCTGCACAGGTGCGAAACGAGCTCTTCCGCGCCGCTGCTGTGGCTACCAAGCGCGTCGTGCCCCGCGTCGCCGCTGACAAGCAGATCGAAACATCGCTTCAGGTTTTCTTACGACCAGGCTAGGGATGCACTTTTGTAATGTGCCCTGCCCAGAAACCTCTTGCTTCGCCACCCTCCTCCTTCTCCTTCTCCATCCTCCGGCCTCATCCTCCCTCATCCTTATGTTTCTTCTTAGTCTTCTTCATCTCATTCTCACTCCTGCGCGCGATCCCGCGCGCCCTCATTCATCCCCCTTCGAAGAACATGTTCCCCTGTCGCACCACCAGACGTGTCCGTAGTTCGGGCCAGGCGTTTCGTTTGGGACCTCCCTACACTATGCGACCCTGCAATAAACATTCCAACATGTATTTATAATGATGGAGGGCCCGCCGTTGCCCACATGCTACTCTCGCCCTAACGCTTCGCCCTTTCGTTTTTACTTCGGCTTTCGCATTGGCACCGCGTGTATTCGTTTGACAAGCTTATAGGCGTTACAATGGTGGATGGCCGATCGTGTCCTCAATGCGGCTCACGTCTAAGCGACGCGCATATTCTGGTCTCAAGCTTACAACTGTTACACGTATGCAAGGTCGGTCGTCTCCAAACTGTGGCTCTCGCGTTACAACCGCGCACGCTCGGCCTTTTCAGTTCCCGACCGTTACACGGATGGCAGCCAGCTTGTTTTCAACGCACGACTCTCGCATGATGCATCTCTAAATTTCATGGTCGTTTCAAACCTGTGAGACGTATCGCGTGATACGTCTCGTGTGGTACAGGCCTTTTGAAAGTGTGCTACAACTACACGAACGGACGGCAAGTCCGTTTCAACACGGGGCTCTCGCTTGATACTTCCGCCAACGTCATAGCCAGAGCTTGGACATTGTGCAACACTTGCGTACACAGATGGAGGGCATTTCCTTGTCAAAGCGGGGCTATCGCTGGACACGTCCTTGAACTTGAATCCTCCTCCTTGTCTGACGGTGGCCAAACATGAAGACTGCGCTTGGTGCGTTCTGTAACAGGAAAAACGCCGACGCGAGCAGATTTTGCCGCGGCCGGGTGCAGCGAAGGTCAGGCACAGAATTTAGCAAAGAATAGTGGCCTCACAGGGCGAGAGTAGCCCAGTCCGCGGCAGTACCAAGTGGTAACCCTCCTCCTCCTCCTCCTCCTCCTCCTCCTCCTCCTCCTCCTCCTCCTCCTCCTCCTCCTTCTCTCACTGCTGCTTCTGCTCCTCCCCGCCCGCTGCGGCCTGAAGGCGACGGGCCTCCAGGCTCCTTCGCCCGCAGCGCACCCAGTGGGCGATGGCCTTGCGCGCCACCAGCCCCACCTGCCGCGGCGGATGGTGCGGGCACGGTCGCCTTTACTGAGGGAGGAGGGGGAAAAGGGAACGTCTTCAAGGGTCTTGAGACGGGGGTCAATTCAAACCGGGGTCAATCAGAGCACCAGATCTTGCAGGATCCTGCAGAGCCAAGGGCGAACTGACGCAGGCTAGGGCGCAAAATCCTGCAGGAACCTGCAACATCTTGCAAATACCCACTGACCTGGGTTTGCACTGACCCGGATAAGTGCTCCATGTCTGGCCACTCTTCGGCCTCCGGTGGCCCTTGCTGGGCACCAGGACCGTCAACAAAACGACTCAGGATGAAAGTCTGGCGCAAAAGACCAGGTCGAGGACCGCTGGGGCCGGCGGCCGTCACGAGAACAGCTGCGACGTCCGAGGTGGTGACGGACTGCGTGGTGACCTCAGAACCCCAAGAGACGAAGTCACCGTGCGGTCCGTCACTGCACGGAGTTTGAACCTCGGAGGCCCCGCCCCAGTCGCCCGAGACGTCCTCGGAGAGCGACCCGAATCCCAAAACAGTGCGGTGACCCCGAATCCCCACCGACTCACCACGCCGTGTAGTCGCAACACCGTTTGGGGGCCCCCGAGAGAAGGGGACCAGCCGAGCGGGGAATCGGAGGCGGAGAGAGAGGAGAGGGGAGCAGAGTTGGAGGCAGGGAAGCGAGAGGGATAGGGACGAGGGGGCACAGGGGGGAGTGTGGGGGGCGCGGGAGTGGTGGGACCAGGCAGGAGAGGAAACGGGGGGATCTGCGTGGTGGTGGGGCCCCCCGGAAAGTGTCACGGATTCGCCACATGGATTGTTGTTCCAGTTGGCGCTTTGTCCAGGTACGGATCTGATGTACAATCGTGGATATCCAGCAACCCCTTTCAATACGTTCTTAGATGTACATGAATGTTTGTATGCATGTATGTATGAATACATGTGTATATATAGATGTGTATATATATATATATATGCTGCTAATGATATATTTTTATGGGGCCGGGGACCCCAGACCAAAAACGCCCCCCCTAACGAATTTGGCCCGCCCCGGACCTTTCGGGCAGCCCCCCAGGCGACCTGGGAGGACCCTCACGAAGAGCCCGAAGACGGCCCCAGAAAGCCCCCGGCGTTCCTGCGCGCTCCAGAAACGGCTCCAAAAAGCTCCAAAACGGTCGACGACGACCCCAAAGGAGCCGTCATACCCCCAAAGATCGCTCCAAAACGTCCCAAGAGGCCTCCAAGAACACTCCCAAGAGGGCCCCAAGAGACAAAGTTCATCGATTCCCGGTTGGTTTGTGAGGGACTTGAGAGTTCTCCCCTTTTCGGCTTCCCGACGCTCCAACTCGGCCCACGAGGCCCCCCATCGTCCTAAAGTGGCCTGACAGACCTCCAATGGGGTCCCCAACTGGCCCTGTTTTCTTTCACTACCCCTCTAAGCTGCAGTCGTCACTCCACAGGCCTTCCGCCGAACTTTCTCCAGCTGACCCGCCGCCGTTTTACGTACTTCCGCCAACTTTGCACTGGCTGCCGCCGAGGGCGAGATGCTCCGAAGGCGAGGCCCTTTCTGGAGCGCGCAGCCACACAGAACGCCGCCAAACAGCATCGCCCGCTCTTCCAAAAACCACAGTTCGGAAAGCCCGAAAGGGGTACGGAAAAATTGGCACGATGCCTCAAAATAAACAGCGGTCGCTGTCTGACAGCCAGCTTTCTTTCTCACATGGACGGCGCCCGAGGCGACGCCAACAGCGAATCCTGTTCAAATTGGGCAGGGACTGCTGTCCGTCCTCGTCGCCATTCTTTCCGTACCCATGCCGATCACATTGAACAGCTGCTCACCGCCCGAGCTGCGAGCGCCCGCCACGGACCGGCGGGCGCGGGGGCCGGAGCAGGACGAATTGAGACAATGGCAGCTCCAACTCGATCCCCCGACCCCTCCTGGGGTCGAAACGCACCAGATTTCCGAGCTGCGCCCAGCCTATGCCACATACGCCCAGCGCACGCCACGACTACACACACATATATATATATATATATATATATATATATATATATACGCAGACACCCTCCGACGCATTCTGCATGTACCTTCAGCGAGGGCGGCGGTATAAAATCGCTTGCTCCCAGTGGTGATTAATACACTGCCACCCTCCCCTGAGGCCCAGGAATCATCCATTCGAGGGTGTCTGTGTATATATATATATATATATATGTGTGTGTGTGTGGCGGACAGCCGTGTCTCAACTCGCCTTCCTCTGAGTGGGGCTGCCCGCAAGCGGCAGAAACCACCTCGACGTCTTCGAACTGCTGCGCGGGCACCCTCGCGGCCGGAACGCCAGGAGCGAAGGCCGCCACGCCAAGGTCGAAGTTCACCTTCCCAGCATCTCGTTGGGAAAAAGACACAGAATTGCTGGCGATCTACACATTGTGATTTTAATCAGGGCGATTCCTAACTCTGTGATTTCTAAGAAGACACAATCATTTCCAATGCGACTTCAAACTCTGGTTGCGAGGTAGGAGAATCAGTTGTAACGACGCGCAGGCCTGTGCCGAAGAGCGCGCCGCCCCATTGCACTCCGCAAGGACAGCCGGGGGGCGCCCCTGGGCGGTGCTTGCGCTCGCCTTCCCTCGTTCTTGCCTCTCTGAGACCTCTGGGGGGCAATCTCGTCGTCACGGCCGGATCCGCGAGAAAGGGGAGCCCTCAGACCCGAGGTCGCGAACAAAAACATAAAAATGGTGAAAATCACGACCAGAGCCCTAGGCACCATATTTCTGCGTCATTCTTCGATCCGGATCGATATGTGAGGGTCTCGGGGCCTGAAATCGGGCGAAAACGCCCGGCTCAAAAAGATGAGACGCCAAGATCTCGCTCGGCGGGGCCGCATCCTGGCCGCTGCAGCTCGTAGATCGCCGGCCGACAGAGCAGATGGAGGGGAGAGAGAGAGCTGCTGGAGATCTGCAGCTTAAACTTGTCGGGGGACGCCAGCTGGCCACCTCGCCGAACCTCCCCGTGCCCATCCTGGACGCTGGAGCCCCCTGGCGGCGCCTCAGGCGCTGCCCCTGTTGCGCGGAGCGCCCCAGAGAGGGGGGCCCATCGCCGATCCAAGACATCCGCGCGGACCTCCGAGAGTTGATGTTTATGCCGTTGCTTCCTCTTCGAAGGAGGGCGTACACACCGATCCTGGAGCCAGGATGGGCCTGGCCAAGAAAGGTAAGGTGGTGAGCTTGCGTCCCCAGAGCTTGCTCGCCTGATGCCGCCAGTACTGCCTGCTCGCTCGCTCGGGAACGTGCCCCCAGTTATAGCAGGAACAGTAATCGCCTAACACATCCAGTCGGGGCTGATTGGAGAGAACACGCGAGAGGGCACACGACCCTTCCGAGGGCCACATTGCCATAGGGATGTAGAAGGCATGGGTCGAGAAATACTGGGCACAACGGTACCCGTAGTTTGGCAAGGTCGACCTTCTAATCAACCTCGCCTGTATAGAGAAACCGAAACCGGCTAACACACAAACTTTCAGAGGTCCGCGCGGATTTCTTGGGTCGGCACTGGACCCATCCCAGTGAGCGCAGCGCGCCAAAGTCGCGACCAACGCCGACCCAAGAAATCCGCGCGGACGCAGCGCAGAAACGTTGCTCTGTACGCTGTGGGGTGGGAGATCTCAAAGCCTCCTGCGGGGTACCATGAGCATCCACTTGGTCCAGTGGGCGTTCTGCGGACAGCAGGAAGCAGGCCAACTTGATTCGCCCCGGTCTCCTGTGCTGACGGTTACCTAGGGCTGCACTCCGCAGCTGGTTCGACTGTTGGCTCAACCTCGGCCACAGCAACCTCGGTTCTTTTTCCGAACTACCTCCAGCCTTTCAGAGACCGCTCCTCGAGGCGCTCTGATAATCACTATCCGTGGTTTACAGCAATGCCGTCCTGACCAACGAGAACGTTACGGAAACGCAATCGAACGAGTCTCCAGAACCATCCGCCATTAGTTTGTACGACCCCATCGTAAGGCCGAGCCTGTACATGGAATCCCCTGCTTGGGCACCGGGCGCTCGATGGCCGCCGTGCGATCCTGCGATCCCTCAGGCTGCACTCGCAGATCCATCCATGGCGTCATACAGAGCTCCCGACTGTCACCAGCACAGCGAGCGTCCACTCATGCCCCGAGTTCAACCCAGACCATTCGGAACCGCATGTCTCCCTTGAGTACGAGCAATCATAGTTACATAAATGATTTTAAATCGCTTGTGCTCACGCAAAACAAACAATGGCGACACACGTTGACAGAGCCGATACCAAGGTTCGAGTGGTTTCTCCCGCGGGTGGCTATTTAACCCTTCGTGCAAACATCGGCGAGCAACCACAACGACAACGATTCCAATCTACTCGGGCGCGGCAACGACTCGATGGAGAGGTCCGCACGGTGCCATCTCCTGCTTCCCATCTTCCTAATTCCTTTCCCCTCCCTCTGGGTCCTCACTCCCCTCAAGCTTTGCCATCAAGGAACAAGCGCTCCTGCGGGAAACGGGCTCTCCGAGCGTTTCCTGTGACCAGTCTTGCATCATGAATTGATGCTTGGCTGTTCCTGGGCCTGGGAGCGGCCCCGAGAGACTGAGAAAGAATCATCTAATCAGGACCCATATGTTTCGTTCCGAGGCTACCAGAAATCATGCCCAAGACACAGCCCAGCTTCTCGCGCCATCTGGGAACCTCTGGGGCCCTTCTGGCCCTCGTGAGCGGCGCCCTGGAGGCCACCTGAGCCTCTCTGGAACAGCGAGGGTGACCTTGGGCCAACATCACCTCTTGCAGCGTCTGTTGCGACCTCATCCGCCACCGTGCCTGCACGGAATGGGCGTGTTAGAATGCTTGTCTGTTGTCTGCGGTGTTTTCCAATTTTTCTGGGGGACCCCCCCCCCTGACGGCACGCGTGCCTCTGAGATCGACTCCATCGAATTTGCTCTCCCGCGGTGCTTTCCGACCTCCAGACGGATGAGACTAAGACGGCCCAAGATGTCCCAAGACGGTTCAAGAGACTCCCAAGACGGCCTCAATATGGCCCAAGACGCCCCCAATACGGCCCAACAGGTTTCCAAGAGGCCGTCCATGAGAGCCAGAAAAATCCGCCACCGTGCCTTGGCACGTTGAGGCGTGGCAGAATGCCAACTGCTGGCTGGCAGAGTTCCTGCAGCTGTCTAATGGACCACCCCACCCTTTCCGTTGGCGCTCTCCAAGGCGTCCAAGACGCCCAAGATGGCCTCCAAGACGGACCTGGCAGGCCACCAAGGCCAGGCAAGATGATCCAACAGGCCTCCATGACGGCCTCAGATGGCCCGAGCTGGCCTCGAGACGGCCCAAGAGGACTCCAATAGAGCCTGCAGCCAAGCCAGACGAAGAGGCCATTTTCGCCTATGGTATTTCAGCTTTGATGGATCTTTCAGTTGTCGCCGTTTCGAGCTTTCGTTGGCTCACAGCAGCAAAGAAAGCCTCCAAGATGGCCTCAAGGCGGCCTAGGAGGATACCAATAAGACCCCAAGACGGCATAAGAGGGTGCCAAGATTGCCCAAAGGCGGCCCAAGAGGCCCTTAGGTCAGCCCAAGAAGGCGCCCAGGCGACCTTCTATGGTCCCCAAGAGAGCCCCAAGACGAACCAGAGAGCCCCCCAACATGGACGCTGAAAGCGCGCCTATACGGCCGAAGCGCGCCCTCAGACGGCCCAAGGAGCCCCCCAAAGCCCCCGATGCGCCCCCAAAACGCTGCCAAGAGGCCCCAAGAGGCCCCCCAAGAACCCCTCAAGAGGCCCGACATGTTGCACATGACGCCCCCCCCCGCGCCCCCTCGAATCGTGGCCAACCGACATGCTGGACTGGCACGGTGGCAGGACCTGCCGCAGACAGCTGTAACCGCCGCCCCCTGTTGATTCATCACAGGGGTGCCTGGCGTGCTAGATGAATTCGGTTTTGGCTTTAGTTCTTTTCCAAAAGAACTCCCCCTGGGGCTCAAGCATCCCGCCGGGGCCCTGGGAGGGAACTCCAGGCCCGCAAACGACCTCAACCTCCGCAAACAATTCTCTAAAACGGCTCAAGATAGCCTCCAAGACGGCCAAGATGGCCCTCAAGCTCGCCCAAGACGCACCGAAGACGGTCTCCCAGACGCCCCAAGAGGGTCCCAGATACGTCCAAGTTCGCCCAAGAAGCCTCCAAGACGGCCCAAGAGGCCCCCAAGAGGTCCTCCAGGAGGGCCCGAAGAGGCCAACATCGCTGATTTTCCTTAGGGTTTTGAAGGATTGTGGCATCTGCTTCTTCTCGGCATTCCGACGGCTCAAGACGGCCCAAGAGGCCCTCAAGATCGCCCCAAGATCGTCCACGAGGCATCCAAGATAGCCCCATGAGGGCCAAAAAGGCCCCCAAGACGGCCCCGAGAGGGCCCGAAGAGGCCTCCAAGACGGCCAAGATGGCGTCCAAGACGGCTCAGATTGCCTGAAAATGCATCCAAGATGGCCCAAGACGCACCGAAGACGGGCTACCAAACGGCCCAAGAGGGTCCCAGATACGTCCAAGTTCGCCCAAGAAGCCTCCAAGTCGGCCCAAGAGGCCCCCAAGAGGTCCTCCAGGAGGGCCCGAAGAGGCCAACATCGCGGAATTTCGCTAAGGTTTTGAAAGACTTGGGCATTCGCTTCTCCTCGGCTTTCCGACGACCCAAGACGGCCCAAGAGGCCCCCGAGATCGCCCCCACAGCGCCCAAGAGGCCTCCAAGATGGCCTCCGGACTGCCCAACAGGCCCCCAAGACGGCCCAAAGAGGGCACAAAGACGACCCAAGAGGCCTCCAAGACGCCCAAGATGGCCTCTAAGACTGCCCTGGAGCACCCCAAGAGGGCCCCAAGTCGGCCCAGAAAGGCCCAGCTTCCCACGGCATCAGACGGGCCAGGAGCCCACCAAGATGGCCGAAGTGGCTAGAAGCTGGCCCAAGACGACCCAAGAGGCCTCCAAGAGGGTCTCCAGGAAGGCCAGAAATTGACAAAACTACTGGCTGCCCATAGGTTTTCGAAGGATTTTGATATTTCCTTCGTGTCGGCCTTCCGATGGCCCGATACGGCCCAAGAGGCCCCCTAAGATCGCCCAAAGATCGCCCAAGAGGCCCCCAAGATGGCCCCAGGACTGGCCAAGAGGCCCCCAAGATGGCCCAGGAGGCTTCTAAGACGCCCAAGATGGCCTCCAAGACTGCCCTGGAGCATTACAAGAGGGCCCCAAGTCGGCTCAGAGAGACCCCCCGAACGGCTTCCGACGGCGTCGGACGGGCCAGGGGCCTACCAAGACTGCCGAAGATGGCACTAAGATGGCCCAAGACGGCCCAAGAGGCCTCCAAGAGGGCATCCAGGAAG